GTCACCACCTCAACGTGGGCCGTTAGTGCTGCCCACATTTTTCATCAGCTCTCATGTCATTCGTTACACCAGCAATTTTCTGTGTACTCCAAGCATCTTAAACCTCCATGTCTTTATCCATCCTATTCAGTACTTCACAAGCTGAAATCCACTAGATTATACCTCCCTTTAGGTTTCTGCCTTCTACCTCCACTCTACCTCTGTCTCTAGACTTTCCTCTTTCTCTCCTGTGCAGCAAATGTGTCTAATGCATTAAGTCCTTTGATTTTTGACTGCTGTTTCCCATGAGTGTTGATTGTAGATCTAAACAAAATGAAGTCTTTGACAACTTCAGTCTTTCTTCATTTATCATGATGTTATTGATTGGTCCAGTTATAAGGACTTTTGTTTTCTTTACATTGAGTTGCAATCCATACTGATGGTCTGTGTTCTTCATTAGTTAGTATTTCAAGTTCTCTTTGTTTCCAGCCAGCAGAGTTGTATCATCTGCATATGCTGTTCTTTTTAAGTGCCATCAAGTTGGTTCCAACTCATAGCAGCCCTGTATGTGGTTTCCAAGGAGTGTCTGGTGGGTTTGAATCGCCGATCTTGTGGTGTGGTTCACGCACAGTCCAGTGCTGATCCTACAGCTCCACAGCAAAACTCCATCCTTTCAATAAGGCAGGTCGTTAATAATGTCTTCCTCTAATCTGAATGTCACATTCTTCTTCATATAATCCAGTTTCTTGGATTATTTGCAGATTGATAAATATGGTGAAAGGATACAACCCTGTCACACACCTTTCCTGATTTTAAACCATTCAATATTCACTTGTTCTGTTCTAACAACTGCCTCTCTGTCTGTGTACAGGTTCATCAGAAGCACAAATGTTTTGGAATGTTCATTCTTCACAATGTTATTTATAGTTTGTCAGGGTCCACATAGTCAAAAGCATTGCATAGTCATTTAAGCACAAGTAAACATCTTTCTGGTATTCTCTGTTTTCAGCCAAGATCCATCTGACATCAGCAATGATATCCCTAGTTACAAGTTCTCTGCTGAATCTGGCTTGAATTTCTGACAGTTCCCTGTCAACGTACTGTTGCAACCATTTTTTAATTATCTTCAGAAAAATTTTACTTGCATATGATATTAATATTGCTCAAAGACTTTTTGCATTCCAGTAGGTTACCTCTCTTTGGAATGGGTAAAATCAGTTGGCCAGGTTACTGTCTTCCAAATTTCTTGGCAAAGATGAGTGTTTCCAGTGCTGCATCAGTTTGTTAGATTTCAATTTGCATTCTGTCAGCTTTTTCCTCAATGCTTCAGTTCTGCTTGGGCTTCTTCCTTCAGTACCATCAGTTCTTGATCATATGCTACCTCTTGAAATGGTTGAGCATCAACCATTTATTTTTGGTATAGTGTCTGTATTCCTTCCATCTTTTGATGCTTTCTGCATCATTCAAGTTTTGCCCATAGAATCCTTCAGTACTACAACCTAAGACTTGAATTTTTTCCTAAGTTCTTTCTTTCATCTTGAGAAAAAATGCTGTGAATGTACTTTCCTTTTGGTCTTCTAACTGCAGGTCTTTCTACATTTCATTATAATACTTGATTTCGTCTTCTTGAGTTGCCCTTTGAAATTTTCTGTTCAGCTCTTTTTACTCCCTCATTTCTTCTATTTGCTTTACTTTCTCTAAGCTCAAGAGCAAGTTTCAGAGTCTCTTTGGACATCCATTTTGGTGTTTTCTTTCTTTCCTGTCTTTTTAGTGACCTTTTTGCTTTCTTCCTGTAGGATGTAAATTGTTACGTGCTGTCAAGTTTCTGACCCATAGCGACCCTGTATAGGGTTTCCAAGGAGTAGCTGGTGAACTTGAACTGCCAACCTTGCAAGTCAAATGGCTTTACAGTCTGGGGCATTAATCCACAGCACCACACCAGGACGCCAGGATGTAAATTGTTGTTGTTAAGTACCAATGTTGTTGTTAAGTACTCCAAAATTCTCCTTTCCAGCATTCCACTGATTCAGACCTCTTACCTTGCCAGATCATTTACTTTATGCTTCCATTCCAAAGGAGTCCTGATAGCATAGTGGGCTGTGAATTGGGTTGCTAACCACAAGGTCAACAGTTTGAATCTACCAGCTGCTCTGTAAGGGAAAGATGAGGCTGTCTGCTCCTGTAGATTTGCAGCCTGGGATATCCTATAATGGGTCACTGTGAGTCAGTCTTGACTCCACTACACACAACCACCACCACTGCCACCCAGTCCAACAGGTCTTACATTCCATCTGGTCCAGAGGCCTACTTTTGGCTGGGTGATTAGGAAAGATCTCTGAAATGATGACATTTACTCCATGACTTACATATCCAGCAGCACCATGTGAAATGCAAACTATGGCAGAACTTCCCAGGTGAACAATGAACACAAAAGCCCTAAGATGGGAACAAGCTTGCACAGTCCATGAAGAGCAAAAAGAACCCGTGAGGAGGAGGGTGGCATGAGAAATCAGAGAAGTATGATGGTAACCAGGTTAGGTGGGGTGAGGACGGACTGGAGAGGGAAGTGGACAAGGCCCTCCAAGAATGGCCAAGTGAAAGGGAAGACCATGACCTTGTAGCAACAGAGCTCCACAGTTCTATTACAAGTTCGTGTCTAGCTCTTTTCATTGAAGAACTTACTAAAGAGACTGGCTCAAAACTTTGAAACTATTAGGGCTCAGTTCTCAAACCAAATTAAGTAGTCATGTGTTGCTTAATATCCATAATACAATCTGTGAAATATTACTTGGATGTTGTACATACACCCCAGATTACAAATGAGTTCTTAAGTCTTTAAGTCAAATGTCAGTTGAAAAAGTTAGGTACAGTTCCCATCTAAAACCAGCCAACTGTCTTAATATATGAGGACATATGGGGGCTTCAAAGTTTGTGGGAAATGCAATGAAAACAATGACATTTTTCCATGAATTTTTTGAAGCCCCCTCATATATAGGGTACCTTTCTATGCACACAAAAAAGTAAACACTTCCAGAGACACTAAAATACCTTTAACATAATTCAGCAATAATGTTCTGAGGCACACCTCAAAATAGTACCTGGTACTACAAACCATTGTATGTGCCTTAACATTGTTTAGTATGGACTGGGGCCACAAGGCAAATGCTGTCAGACAACGCCTGAATGGCTACCCTAGAGCACATGACTGTATTTCCTCTTCAATAGGAAAGCAAAGGTTTAGGAAAAGAACCAGACACCTGTGATGCACTGTGTCTTCTATTGAGAGAAGTCTAATAATTGGAATGTGTATTTAAGTTTGTAGCTTGTTCGTATTAAAATACTCAGTCGATTGGAAATGGTACTTTATGAAACAGTACTTTACTGGTTAAAAGAAAGAAACTTTGACAACTACTTTCAAGGATTGTTCTATCCATCCATAATGCACTTTAAAACATCAAGAGTGGAAAATGTTAAAGATAGATTCTTGATTATGACCTTGGGTAAGAATCAAATTCTCTCCCTCCTTTAACTCCCAAATTGGACACACAGTCCCTCAGGTGGGAATGCAGTGTGCACCAGTGTTTGGAAACATTACCTACTTTGTACAGGAGCAGTAGATGAATCCTTACATAAATAGAATACACTAAACTCCAGCAGGATAAATTTACTGCTAAAATGAAATCTCCAATGTGAAATTTGTTGTTAGTGCCGTCAAGTTGATTCTGACCCATAGCAACCCTTATAGGATTTCCAAGGAGTAGCTGGTAAGCTTGAACCACTGATCTTGAAGTTCAAACCAACTCTGCAGTCCAGTGCATTAATTCACAGTGCCACACCAGAAAAATATGGCAAGCTGTTTTCACTTAACGACTTTGTTACTAAAAGCTATTAGTGAACGCCATCGATTATCGTAAATGATGTGTATGCATGACAATGGGTACAAACCCAAACTGGGCTTACAGTTGAAATCTGAACTACATTTTAAAGTTAGTCACCAAGTAAACTCAGCTTATTTGAAGTAACATATGAAAGTCATGTTCAATTGGCTAGCAGGGTTGGTAACAAACGGAACCAGCTACATCACTTAACAAAACATTTCACAAGACATTTTATTGTATTTTAAAATGCAGTTAATGAATATTTAAGGTACAGTTTTTAAGACAGTCATATCTTGATATTTATCACCATGAAAATTCAAACTTCAGGTTCCTGCACTACCACTATACATAAGGTGGAACAGAGATTTGAGTCAGATCCAGCTCCTGACACAACTTCATCCTAACTGTCTGTACCTTTATACTTAGCCTGAACCTACCTACATTAACACCGCAAGTGCCACTGAATCTAAAGGAACTTTCTTCAATCGAATTTTCTATTTTAGCTGAGGATTCCACTCATTTACAGAAGACCTGTGTGGTCTTTCCTTCAACCATCCGTTTTATTGCTTGCTAACCACTACAGCAAGCTTGTGTTTTCTTCCCAAATATGAATTGCTCTCAAAATCTTTAAATATACACTTTCCATTGACGTCTGCATGCTTTTCTATAAACTATCAAACATGTGGAACTATGTATGAAGGTCAAAATAACCTCCACAAATCTATTAATTAGGGTTAGGTTTAAAGTTTTTCATTGAAGGTTATTTATTGTAATGATTTTTACCGTCATTAAAAATCCACACCCACAAATAAAAATATATCCACAAACATGTTTGAATTTGGTTATCAAAAAGGATTTGTGCATCTCCAACTCTGCAAATACAAACTGAGGCATTAGGGCTTATTTAAACTAAGAATATATGGCCACATAAACAGAACAGACGGTGTCTTTTTGAATTGTTGAGCTATGCAAGAGACAACGGACAGCACAAAGGTCACCAAGCCATGACACAATTTCAAATGAGACCTGAAGTTACTTAGCTTTAAAAAAATAAAACTAATACAAGACAATGGGAGACGAATCACAATTATTAATCACTGAAAGTTAAACTTAACCGAGTAAACTGATTACATTCTATTTCAGATCCTTGTATAACTGTAGAGATGTTGTATTACGAAGAAACACATCTGGAAGTCTGGGCTTCTGCATTGTAGGAGGTTACGAAGAATACAATGGGAACAAACCTTTTTTTATTAAATCCATTGTTGAAGGAACACCAGCATACAATGATGGAAGAATTAGGTAATCATAATGACTATTTAACAACAACAAAAAAATATATCTAAATGTTAGTATTTTGTTTTATATATATAAGAGCTTGGGCCTATTTAAAATGAGGCAATATAATTATATATATATATTTAAAAAAAACAGCTTTGGGAGGAAAAAAAAAATGGATTAGTTTTTTATTCAATGTGGAGAACTCCTCAGTAACCCACAATTTTAAATTTATATTCTGTTCTTTTTTGGGGGGTAAGAAATTGGAAACACATGCTTATAGTATTCAACTTATAAGAAATAATCTTAGCCCCATACTACAACTTCCTATGCTTTTAGCATTCCTTCTAATACAAGCTGAATGAATGGGAGGTGATTGGAGAATTTGAGGAGGGAATAAAACGTTAAGTGCCGTCTAGTCAGTTCTGACCCACAGCAACCCTGTATATGGTTTCCAAGGAGTGACTGGTGAGCTTGAATCGCCCATCTTGTGGTTCAAACCAACCATCAAAATAAACTGGCATTAACTCAGCTATGGATTAACATTAATCATCTATCTTGTTTTGTTTGATTTTAGATGTGGTGATATCCTTCTTGCTGTCAATGGTAGAAGTACATCAGGAATGATACATGCTTGCTTGGCAAGGATGCTCAAAGAACTTAAAGGAAGAATTACTCTCACAATTGTTTCTTGGCCTGGCACTTTTTTATAGAATCAATGGAGTCACAGAAAACTAGAAAATCACTAATAGGGTAATTCAGTTAAACAATGTTATTTATCTTGCCAGTTTTTATATTTAAATGTAAAATGTAAACAGTCATGTCAGGAAAAGTATGATCTCATGAAAGCCAAATACACCTAAGAAAAAGTTTAACTCTCAGAAATGAAGACTACTAATAGTTTTTATTCTATGTGGAGGATTTCATTACTCCACAGCTTTCTGTTTGTATTTTTCTATTCATTAAAAAGCCCTTCAAAAGCTGACATGGTATGTATGGCCCACTGAATTCAAATCATACAATTAAGAAATTGGTAAATGCCAAGGGTCTGCAAAGGGCACATTATGGGCATTTAAAAGAAACAATTTAAAGCCAGAGGATTTTGAAAGTATCTTACTGACAAATGTTCATCAAACAAGAATAAATATTTTTCAAAAATTCTTGCTGTCTTTACTATGTGGTATTCATTTCTACGTTCATTCGCTCAAATACCATGTTACCTTTTACAATCACAGACATCCATCTCCAAAGGGTTACACCACCAAAATGCTCACAGATTATACATTTTCATAGTTTTCACAAGAAATGACTTAAGCGCTTGCTGTTCCATTTCTTTTTCCTCACAATGTAGCCTGATAACTGTACAATTAACTCCACTCAGTGTTCTATCAACAATTCTAGGAAAAAAGCATCAAAGCAGGCCAAAACCAGCTTCACCCTGGATGGACCATACGGGATTATTTCACACAGGTCACCCAAATGCCTTATCGATTAATTTGGATAATTGGATATAAAAGTGCCCCGCCTAGTGTCACCAGAATTCCACAGATAGAACACCAAAAGCCTGCTGTGGAAAAGCTATTATCCAAAACTTATACAGATCCTTTAATGTGCTAATCAAGAGTGCACCGCGATAATGGTAGAGGCCAACTTTCACCTTAAAACACAGAGGTGCCTCTGGATGGCTTTTATAATGTGACTACGTTAAGTAGATTGATCTTTGAATAGCTCATGAAAATCATGCCCAACAAAGAGCCCAGATACTGTGTACATATACAGGTGGTACCCAAGTGGTTTTAGTGTTGAAGAGTTAGCCCTAGGTAACGCTCTAACCTTCCTGCAGAGTGAGTCATTCCCATTATACTTTCTTGGATATGAAGTCATTGCTGTCTTTTTATTTTTTTAAATATTATGAGACAAAGATTTTTAACTTAACATGAAAAATTCACTTTTATTTTGGGAGAGAAAAAAGTTAACTTTTTATACTAACAGAACAAGATTAAAGGTAAATTTCTTAAACATTATCCAGAAAAATAACAAGATTTATAGACTCTACTTCTGGCACTAAATATGCACAGAAGGCCCAAAGCAGGCCTATTCTGCAGGGGCCGCTTCGGTGTTCTCCTGTTCAGGGGCAGGCTCACTACCGGCTTCTTTTCCTTCTTTGCTTCTTTTAGACTTTTTGTGCTTGTGTCTCCTGTGACTGTCTCCTTCTTCACTTTCATGGCGACGTCTACTGTTGCTGAAAAAAAAACACAAAGGTGTAGGTTCTGTTTCAAACTGTGTAGGGATCTAAGAGGTTCAAAACAAAACAAAACAAAACAAAACCCAATATACTGTGTCTAAGTGAATTCTTAAATTATTAGGCTAGGTCTTAAATAATTTAAGTAATTCTGTTTCTCACAAACATTTTGGGTAGGGACTGTTTTTTTCTATCTCTTATATTTACATCACAAGCTGATCTTCAGCAATACAGTAAACTCTCTACATCTCCATTATCTGTATTAATTCTGAAAGTATAATAAATTAAAAACTGAAAAGCTAAACTAAAACAGGGAATGGCTTACAGGTATTAATCCTTTTCCTTTTTTTTTTGAGATACAAGGAAGACTAGTTCAGATGCCTAAACTCCTCCCAATGAGATAATATGCTATATCAACATATTATTTTTTTTATTCCATGCTAATTTTGGTTTAGGGTTTTAAATGTAGAAGTCTCATTAGTTTTAAGAAATCTTTGTTGAAACCAACCATGTATTCTGGCAGGAACACATACGTTCTTCTGGAGATTTGAAAGTCTTTGTTTCTATCTCATGATGTCAAATCTCAGCTTCAAACTGAATTACTATTTTATTAAAAAAAAGAAAACACACACAAACCTTCGAGATGACTTGTGTCTGGTTTCCTCTTTCTCTCTGTGCCGTCTTTCTCTGTGCCGTTCTTCTTTCTCACGGCTTGCTCTATGGCGCTCATACCCTCTTTCAGCGTATTCTCTGTATCTATATCTCTCTTCATCACTGAAATCGGAATAGAAACACGTTTTCTTGACAACTGGACTGTGAAAGGTAGGTTATATTTGAAAGAAAATAAATTCGTGGTGCAGTTCAGAAACCATGAAATTCAAACTTCATTGACTTAACCAATTACCAGGTATGTGGTCAAGGACAAGACAGTTCTCAGTAAGTTCTCTTCAACTAAAAGATATGAATACTAGTTTTCATATTAAGAGGGACTATTTGAAGATTCGATAACTACTCATATTCAGCAGAGTAAAACACTGAGCACAGAGCTGGTATTTTTATTCCTAACTTAAAAAACAAGCTAGGTTCTAGAGACAAAACAAACAAGTATGACATAGCCCCCTGCCTGCCTTTAGGCACACAGTATCAACAACAAGCTATCAAGTTTATGTAAAGCACACAACTAAAGAAGTAAAAACAGAAGGAACAGAGGAAAACATGCAAGGGGAAAATTACATTATGTTTTCATTCTACTTTTCCACAAAATTTTGAAGTTCCCTTGTATTACGCCTTTAAACCGTCCCAATGTGAAGGAGCTCTGGTAGCGTAGTGGTTACGAACTGGACTGCGAACCTCAAGGTCAGTAGTTTGAAACTACCAGCTATTCTGAAGGAGAAAGATGAGGCTTTCTGCTTCCGTAAAGATTTCCAGCCTTGGAAACCCTGTACAGGGTCGCTATGAGTTGGAACCGACTCCACGGCACATAACAACAACAACAATGTGAAGATGAAAAACTCCAAGTTAAACTGAAGAACTAATGGTATAAGGATTTTTTAAAATAGAGCTATATTTGTAATAAGCTATGTATGAAATAAAACAGGCACTGTTTATTTCAAGGCATTATCAAGGGAGGGCTACGATTTGATAACATTTGACTATGTCCTGGTATGGCACTGTGGGTTAATGTGCTGGACTGCAAAGTCAGTTTGAACCACAAGGTTTGGTGGTTCAAGTTCACCAGCTACTCCTTGGAAAGCCTATAGAGGGATGTTTGGTCAGAAGTGACTCAACAGCACTTAGGAATAACCATTTGATAAAGAACTAAAGCAAAGGATTCTTTTCCAAGGAATTGCTTAAGATTTTATGAATTGTTGTTAGTTTTGAAAACCTGACAGGATTCACTACATTCTATAAAGTTCTATAAATGAAGTGACGAATGATAATAAGTCATCATACTAACTAACTGTCTTAGGGTACTTAGTATGTATGAGGGGCTGTTCTAAGTATATACATATATTATCTCACAGGTTACTCTTATTTAAAAGGACTGCTATACTTCTTGCCTTATAAAAAGTTAAACCACTTTTCATGTATTCGGATGACATTTTTCTCATTAAAAGACAATACACAGCACTTGAATGGAAAGAATAATCTTAACAAACTCTTAGACATAAATAGAGATTAAAACCAGTTATTATCATCAACCTTAAATACAAATTTGTATCTAGTCAAAGTAGACATAAAACCAGCACTTGGCATTTGACCACTTCGAAAACCAATCTCTACTCGTTTTTCTGACACCTGAGGATACATCTATTCCACTTCTGTCCTAGACTTCATGTCTAATCCATTAATCAGTTTAATACATGTGAACAGATTTCCCCAATCATAAACAAGACATAGCACTGACTGTTTTGTTCACCAACTTGCCTTCCTCCACAGAGTTCCCAATCTCTAGAAATGGAATCTTCAAGTTCCAATACAAAACCTGATTCATTAAACTTAGGCTATCTCTTTGGTCAATAAAACTGAGAAAGGCAAGAAAAGATTGCATCTGCTTGGCAGTGCTACAGAGTTGCTGAATGCTCATATGCACAGGGGTTCAGCTCTATCACCATTTGAGAAACAAATGGCCCTGTCCACATAGCTTTTCAGAAAAGCATTTTACTCAATTATCTAACCTCAGAATTGACACATGACTGAAAAACAGTTTAAATTTCAAATACCTCATTCTTTATATCTTTACATTCCTTACACTTTGTATTTCCCACTGGACTTGACATTAAGATCACAGGCTTCCAATAAACAACTGCAAAAGCACAGTAAATTTCTGTGATTGAAGTAATACAAAGCTAATGTGAACAGCTTTAAATAGGCAAGTATAAATTGCACTTCATCATCAGATGGTGGGTAGAATTACACAAACTAGGACTGGCGACTTGAGGACGAGGGTGGTCTGTGTTTCTTTAGAACTGCCCTCCTTTCATATTCCTTGACTGACATTCCTCTCCTCATCTTTCTCTCAAGCCTTCAAGTCTTGCATGTCATTTTATTTTTAAAGCATTGAAGAAGTCAACTCTTTCTACAACCTAACATCAGTAAACTCTCTCACTTAGAATGAATACAAAATATCTGTGCTAGAGTTTTTGGTTTCTGGATACATGCTTAATTTTAAAACAAAACTCACTACCATAGAGTCAATTCTAACTCATAGTTACCCTATAGGACAGAGTAGAACTGCTCCCTACGGTTGTCAACACTATAAAATCTTCACGGGAGCAGTCTCGCCATCTTACCATGGAACAACTGGGAGGTATGAACTGCTAAACCTCATGGTTAGCAGGCCAACATTTATATGTTAAGGAATCTAAATGGGAGATAGAATCCTGTGCAAGCATATGCCATATAATATAATGAGTCAATCAAACTGTGGTCTCCAAGAACTACTATAATGAATATATAATGGATCAACACAAGCATAATGATTCAATAATGCTATGCTTAATTAGCCACACCAAACTGTTGACCAATGATTGTTATTATTGCCTGTGATACACTATGTTTTTGAAACGTTTTATTCAACAACAAGAAGAATAAAAAAATGCAGTGTAGAATACAGGTAGAATAGGCTCAGGATCAGATCCTGATTTTGCCACTTACTGAATGTGTAATCCTAAGGTTAAGTTCCTTCACCTCTCACTCAGTTTTCTCATCTGTAAAATGGACAACAATCCTTCGGCGATCACATTTATAAAATGCCTGGTACAAGAATAGGCATGCAAACAGCCACTGCCACACAGGGCCACTGTCTTCAGTGAGTTCAACAATTAATTGTTCAGAAGCAGAACTTTTTGTAAAGGTGCCTGACTTTGTAATAATTACTATGCATCTGAAGAATAAACCAGTACCATGAAGAAGGAATAGTGGTAACTCTTCTAAAAAAGAAGAGTCTTATACTGACTCAAACTAGATTAACACACAAAAACAATTAAGGTCAATTATCTCATAATTTGTCATTTGTAACGCTTTCTTCCCCTCTCACTCTAAAATCAACTCTTGTTAGCTTTGGTACCGTGGGATTTTGAAGGTAGCCATATGGTAGGAAGCTTACTACAGATGGTGAATGGTTTAGTCCCCCTCCCCCCACAAAATATAAAGGCCTCTTCTTCCATCCCCTCTTTCTGATATGCAGCAGCAGCACAAACATTTCCCTAGGCCTGGAAATCATTAGAGCTCATTTCAAACACCCTAGAATCACTAGCCTTTTTTTCTGGCCCAAAATTAAACTGCCTAAAAAACAGATGTTGAAAATGGTCTGCAATTTTCAAAAACAATGACCCTGTAATTTGTAACACAACACACACTACACACACATGCCATACTGCTATAATGTCAGTCTTCAGAAAAAAAAGTCCAGCCTTTTCTTACACTTCATTTGGATTTTTCAGGTGATGTTTTATTCTTGGGATAATTCAGAGCAACACAAATTCCTCCACCTTATCACCTCTTTGGCCTTAAACTTTCAGTCAGATTTAGGTACGCATGAATTCCTGCTGCCCCACAGTGCAACAGCCTCAACACCAAACTTGGTTTAACTATTAACATGAATGTTTAGTTTCAATGTAAGTAGCATTGGGGCAAGTGTGTTTTATTAAACAGAAGAAACAGAACTTAGACTCAAATGTACAAATGTAAACTTTTATGCAAAGAAAACTTAAAATTTCTAGCAAAGCGATTCATTTTGGTCTTTTCTCTTATCAGTTTAGAACTGATGTCCTTATTTGTGAACACCTGCATTCTAGATATTGTAGTAGTATCAAATGTATACCTTTGGTATCTGTTAGAAATCATTTTTCTAAAAAGTAATGCCTTTGAATATAACAAAATCATGCATTAAATAAACAGTTAAAGTAAACAGGTAAATGTCATATCACACAAATACACACAATGTACATTGACACATACACACCTAAATACATGTATGCATGTATCAATAAAAATTTTAAGTTACGAATTGGGCTGCAAACCTTAAGGTCAGCGGTTCGAAACTACCAGCCATTCTGCGGGAGAAAGATGAGGCTTTCTACTCCTCCCATAAAGATTTACACCCTCGGAAACCCTGTACAGGGTCGCTATGGGTCGGTACCGACTCGACGGCACTTAACAACAACAACAACAACAATGTAAGTCAAATATTAGGAGCCATAGGAAAGAAAAAGTATTAGTTAAGTCCTCCTTGGTTTCTCCTTGCACCGTCTCTTTAGGCAAAATTTTAAGCTACCAAGGAGCATTAACTAGGTTAATAATAATACAATAGTTAAATCTGTAAGGAAATTGTGTGACTATTTCTATATTCTCAGCACATAATACTGAGCATGGTACATGAAAGGCAATCAGAAAATATTGTTTAATCAAAAAGAAGGTTTTTTTTAGTGAGGGGTGCGTAGTGGTTATGAATCGGGCTGCGAACCTTAAGGTCAGCGGTTTGAAACTACCAGCCGCTCCACGGGAGAAAGATGAGGCTTTCTACTCCCGTAAAGATTTATACCCTTGGAAACCCTGCACAGGGTCGCTATGGGTTGGAACAGACTCGATGGCACTTAACAACAACAACAACAATTGAGAAAGAAGATAAGAGATTTTTGGCAACCTAGCTGATCCGCGGGAGAAAGATGAGGCTTTCTACTCCCGTAAGGATTTACACCCTCGGAAACCCTGTACAGGGTCGCTATGGGTCGGACCCGACTCGATGGCACTTAACAACAACAACAACAACA